AAACTTAAGGTTCTAATTAGGTACAGCTGGAGTAGAATTTAGCATTGTCTATTTCTAGTAATTTTTTTTACAGAATATTGATGCCACTAGCTAATGAACCACAAATATCAAATTTAGAGGCTACATCTTTTTTATCTGTCCTAAAGAATGACTAAAGAATAGCAAGATCCTCATCTCTCTGCTCTTATAGAGATAATTGACCATTTTCCTACATGACACTGAGAACAAAAGCTTTATCTTATATCTACCCTTCAATTCTTGAAGCCTAGTGAGATGTTTGACATATCAGAGATAACAGATATATGTTGAGTGTAAGGATATATATGTGCATTCATGGGGCTTAAATGTCAACTACAGTAAAATTTAGGTATCAAATGTTGAGAAAAGAAATTACTAAAATTATACTCCATAAAAAATTTATTTAGAAACTGTAAAACAGGATTTTAGTGAAATGAGCAGCATTTTTTCTTAGTTTGTAAGACACAATTAGGCTGAAGAATAGTGCTGCAGTAGTAGCTACAACAACACACACACACATATACCCCATGTACTTGCACAGACATTTGTAGATACTATACACACACCATCAAAGGATGCACTCCGTCTTGCTTTGATACAACAGAAGGCTTGTGCAAGGTGAAGGCGATTTGAAGGAAAGCAGAATCTTGTCCCATTGATGCTGCAGACTTGTTGGTGATAACAACTAAAGACATGTGGGAGAGGGGGAGGAAACTTGTATTTCTAAGAAATAAGTAGGTACTGATATTTAACATTCCTTGTTAATTTAGCATTATTAGTTTAACATTAACAAGTATATTCTTGAGGTTGGGTGTAGGGAAGTAGCCTTGACCAAAGCAGTTCTTGCCAGGGTAGGGGAGTGGGGTTTTTGAAATATTAGTAAAGAATATGAAGGCGATAGAAAGTAATAAGTACAGAATAATAAGTAAATAATAAGAACAGCAACCATAGAAAGTACCAGAAATGCATTTCAATGATTACTAAAATTGCCTGCATTTATTTTTCCATAGCTTTTTATACCCAATGTAAATGGTGGGGGAATGTAACAAAAGAATTTATTATCATGATACAAAGGACAACTCAAACAATCAATCGCTTTAACACTCTGAGACATCGATCACAATATACCTGCTCTAGACCACATATCCTAAAGACAGTCACTCCCCAGGTGACCTCATAGTCAGAAAAGAAAAATTAAAAATACATTTACATATCCTGACTACCTGTCAGGATGATATGGATCTTCTTGTATGAGTTATTTTGATATTAAAAGAGTCAAGCAATGACATCCTGAGTTGGGTAGTGCAACTATGCTTGTCAACCATTTGAACCACCTCCAACTTTCCGTCCATCACACAAGGCAGAAATGGGCCCACATTTTTGGGCCTCCACAGTAGGGAAGAACCTCTCATTGCCAACTACAAACATTGCTGCAAGCATTTTTGACATCTCAGAAACCTAGCTTAACTAAGAAATCTAAAGAACATTGTGTATGTAAGGTGAAGAAGTCTGGGAAAACTATGATTCTTGCCTCCACTTACCTTCCCATTTCAAGTAAAAACAAAGAGGATGCAAGGACATGGCTGAGTGAAGATCATCAGAAGCTTCAGGAATGTGCTACATCATGTCACATTCACAGGGTTCCTGATGCCCACTTTAGTTGCAACCACAAAGAGTAGAATGCATACCAAATAAGCATGTACCATGGGCTGCTACCAATGGCATGGCATTGTGAAAGGACTGAGGGCAGAACCTCTGAGGAGATACCCCAATGTCATGCCCATAAAGATATTTAAACAAAAATCAAAATTTTCTTTGTGGCATTTCATGTGCTACCTTTTATCACTTTTTCTATATTTCTGTTTCCCAGTACCTCTTTGAATCTTATAACAAAGCAACATTGCTGAAATAAAGCTGAAACATGCTTGCAAATGTGTTTATAATTTCAATACTCTCTCCAACTCATCTTTTCCTGTTGTTGCATCAAATTAGCCATACAAGATATCTTTGCCAGAAGAATCACCCTACACACCCATGTGGCTTCCTAAAAGTAGCCCCATAGATACCACATCGGTGAAGTCCAGAAAAACCATTAGTATGATATCCAATCAAAGTTTTCTCTGAGTGAGGATACGAAACATATTTGTTAGCTGAAGGGCATAGGATTAATTGTGATCCTCAGTGTTTCCACACAGAGAGAGGCAAGTGTACCTCTGTGGCTAAGGAATACTTGGAAAACGAATTACCTAGCTAATAGGCTAGATGTGTGTTTTTTAACTTCCTTTACTCTAATGTAGAGCAAGAGATGGAAGGGTTAAAGATGTGACAACTGGCTCAGATGTGACATATTCTATTTCATTCTGGAGTGTTTTTAGTGTCATCTGTGGAATTTGTTGCTTATTTCGCTTTCTTTGTTTGCAGGCTTAGGGAATTAGTCATGTTCTCAGGGAAAACCAGATAGTGTTCATAAATCATCAGCTCTCTGGGTCATTCATTTTAAACCATCTCAAAGTTCCTTTCCCTTCCCAAAGTTCTTATCACATACTGGCTGAGAGACAAAATGGATGACTACACTCTCCTTTAGATAGACAGTTTTTCACATAATTTAAAACCCCACCAGACAAGTAATTATACATCATCTCCCCTAGGTATCTTTCCCCAAGAAAGCAAAAATCCACGCTGAGTTTCATATGAGGCAGTACGTGTTGGCGGATGCCATGGCTAAAGAGTTATGTCTTGTGGTACTTATTTGCAAAGGACCATAATCCATGTGTCAGAGACTACCGAGCACGTTAGTATCATATATGAAACAAAGAGATTAATGATCTACTCATGTTTTCCTAACAAAGAAATACTAAACCACAGTGGAAGAATGAATAAAATTGCAGGGATGAACAATGAGCTAGAGTATCAGAATAATTAAGATTGCAATTTTATCTATAAGTCACACAAACTCTTCTCGTCAACTATTAAGTGTGTAAAAATATAGCAGGTCTCCTGGCCCTCGGAACACATTTTTCATTCATACAGCAAGGAAAATAATTCTGTCTTCCAAGCTTTCTTTCTTTTCTGAATAGTGTAGGGTGGGAGGAGGAGATAGAATTAAATATTAGCTCAGCTTGGAACATAGCGAGCCCTTATTAAACATTTATCATTATCATCATTATTATTTCATTTTTCAAAGCATCAAACTAGATTATGAATTTCTAAACTTTTCATTATTGAATATCCATTTTTTCCAAGTGCCCTATCACTGGGAGTATTTTTATAGCAAAACACAGTGCATTAATCAAGTAATAATTAAATTGAACTCCCATTTATTTTTTTTAGCTGTTCAAAGACATCGAACCATCAATTAGAACTTCAGATGTTTGTGATAAAGAGTGTCAATCATAAAGTAAACACTCCAACTTAAAGACTGTACAGTCTTATCTTAGATGTATATAACTGGTTAATAATACCAGAAGTCAACAGATGACCAGAGACCATGGTCAAGGACTAACATCCTGAAAGTGGCTGTATTTCATGATTCAGATTTTTTGATGACCTGAAGAGTCACAATGAAGGTACGTGTATGATTTCAGGGAGCTTGAAGGTATCAATACTCTTTTAATAATTCCATCAAAATGATACCAGCAATATAGCCTTATAAACTAGATCTTAAAATCATTCACGAATAATAAGACAATTTTTTGATGTGTTACCCAGTCAACAAAGATTTCCCATAAGCCCTATAAGTATTTGTTTACATATGATATAAATGAAATAGTTGAACTGGAGCAGAAAATAAGAGGATAAACATCTTTGAGCAATGTGTTCCTCAGGACAACCACAAGAGTCACAGGCATGGGCATGTGACTCCCTGGTAGAGTGCTTGTGTAGCAAGCCTGAGGCATTGGCTTTAATTCCTAGGACTGCAGAACAAAAGCACAAGTAGAATTTAAAATGGGAGAAGGATGGCCAATTTAACTAATTCGTCGTTCCCCAATAGGACTGACCAAGCCTGAAGTCACTGTGCACCAAGTCAGCAGTAATTTGTTTTAAGAGTAGAGAATGTCACTTTGGGTTGATTTTTGTCTCAGTGAACTTTTCTCAATCTGTGTACACAGAGTGTTTTAAGAAGCACTCTCATTTGCTTTACTGAGCATTGATTGCCCTCCTTTTTTTCCCATTTCACACGACTCCACCACTGGCACTAACCGTTCTCTCTAAGACTCACAAGTTCTTGCAGACAGAAGAGCACAATCACCCCGGAATGTGACTAGGCAAGGAAAGGCTATGCTCCCTTCTTCACATACAGAACTCTGATTAGAAAGGTGAGACATAGGACATACTTTTTCCCTATGGTCTATGGTGTCTGGGACCATTTGTAAGACATATTTTCCGGTACTCATCACTAAAAAGAGTGGTGAGCCTTGAACAACATTTCCTATGCATTGGAGCCATCAGCAGCAAAAGGCAGGGATAACTGATGGAGAGCTACAATGCAACTCCAATGTGTCCCTGATAGACTACAGACACTAAATATATGAACATATATTTTTCCATCTCTCAAAGGAAGCAAGTTAGAATATATAATTTCTTCCTTTTAAAATTAATTTATTAATTCAGACATCTCAAAGTTCTGCATGTTAATTAATGAGCGAAGAATTTTAAGGAATGTTGTTGCAAGTATGATATGATACAAGTATGGATATGACCCAAAATCTGCTGTCAGTTCAACCCTCGCTGTTTTTGCAACATCAGTGTACTAGCTAGCTATTTAAGTTAAGGTTCCACCTCCGCACCATTTCTGTAACAACAACATAACTACTTTCTTGTGCTAATCCAGAAATCAAAGGGCCCATCATACCCAAACCAGCCAGAGCCACAAAAAGTTGGTATACTCCACATTCTTTCCTCCCCCAGAAAGGGAAGGGGCAATCTGTCTCTAGCAAGAGCAATAGATCTATTGTATAAACAATACATTGAAATCCTGTTACCTTTTACACATTTCCATAATTTCCCCTGCTGCTTCTGCTAATTAATTACCAATGCGATTTATGTGTAGACAAGGGGGTTTGTCTGCTTCATAGCCCATCTGCTTCTTAGTCACCTTGTTGTGAAGTCATGGCAAGGCAGAGCTGCTGAGAAAGCTGCCATTCCCATGGCAACCTGCTATGTCACAAACATAGGAGTGGGAGCTCATTGTAGTTTAAAGGAGAACTCGGCTAGTGTCTGCTGTGTGGGGTGACACGGGTTCTTAATAAAACATGCAGTTATTTGTTCATTTATATGCTTATATAAATGTATGCACATATGCATATACATATAACACAAGAGAGAAAGAATCTTCTTAAGGAATGTGGCTGCAATAACCTTTCTGACAGTTACTAAATTCAAGATAAACATTTGTATGTTAGGAGTACAATAAAAATATGTACTTCTATTTGCATGATAAGTTCTTTGAAATACAATATTGATCTTCATAATTTTCTGATCCACAAACTATGAATTTCTCCCTTCATCAATTATTGTTCTGTCAATTTCTGTTAACTACTCAATGATAAATTGAGAATTCACTATGCATAGCCCCCTAGAGTCACCATTCCGTGGCTTTCAGATTATTGTCCCCATTTTACAGATGACAAAACTGATGCTTAAAGACGAAGGAATTCCCCAGTGAGATAAGGTCATAGTGAGGATGGGGCGAAGTGGACTGGGTACTGAGCCCACAGCTTTGCCTGCAAAGCCCAGCTCTTCCCTCTCACCACCCTTCCTGATTCTGTACTCTCTACCTCACAATGGCAAATTTGCTGGAGTTGCTTGCTGACGGAGCATCCACAGTGATAAGCTGGTGTCGCAAAGTATTTCCAGATTTTGAACACTACTGAAATTTCAGCAATAAAAGAATTATAACATAGTTATAATTATAACATAGTTGAACTTACTTTGTCCAGCTCTGTTCTTTTATAGATAATCTTAGTTGTAGTAAAGAACTGACCCACGGCAACTGAGAATTGCCTGCTTTGATCATTTGTAATAGCAGCTAGAAGCCATCTTTCAACAAGGTGGTTGGACCCATTGCACCCTCTTTGGAGTCTGAAAATTGCAGTGGTAGTATATTCTAGCAACACAGGGTCTTTGCTCTGCTCTGCAGTAGTTTGATATTGCCAGCAGAGGGATAGACAGCCATCCTGCAAGAGCAAGAGCAGGAAAGCAGAGATCTGGTTTTAAATATTAATATTGTAGTTATATTTAACTCCTTGACTTGAAGATTTAAAACTAGCAACAGCTCCCTTAAAATTCACCTTCAACTTTTGCTACAATGAAAAGTTCATTTGGTTACACTCAAGTAAACTATATATTAATTCAATTATTTATGAGTATAATTAAGTGATTTTTTCTTTTGTTTTCTTATTCTGTTTTTTTTATTTCCTGATATTAATATTATTTTTATACTGTTAATATTTCTTAGTTATTTTAATATCTATCCCCCAGCACAGATGATGAATTTCCTGGTCTATGTTTTTACCAGGCTTGAGCAAGCAAACAGTTTCTCCCCTGCAGATTGCCTCCATTTGTAAAGTAGGCCAAACACAGCAATGGGGATTATGCCATTTAGCCATAAACTGTCTCTGCAAAAGGTATAGTCAAACACAGAAGACGATGGTGGATTCTGAAATCGACCCACAGAAGCTGTTGCCATAAGTTCTTATCAGCCTCTTATTTTTGTCCTTGGATGGTTGGTTAACTACTTAGTCAGTTGTAGGAAACAGGTTATAAATACTGCGTCCTGCAAGTTGTGCATCTCTCCACCTGTCAGAGCTGGGGAAACAACAGTTGCTGGGCATTGAGCATGTGTATTTACACTGGACAGCGGTGAAAGCAATGAAGTCGGTGTGCAGAATGAGAGCTGGGTAGATGCCAAACAAGTCAAGGGGACGGAGTCAAAGATCACACCAACTGGTGATTTAGTAAAGTGTTAAATGTCTAAATAAAAGACTTGAGCAAACCTGGCATTAAATGACAACGTTTCAGTAGATGACTGTGAAGGAAGAATACCAGAACCTTCTACATGCCCACATGCTCACACAAGGCAAACATCATGCTCTGCTCTTTCCATTCCTCATACTATTCCATTCTTTGGCAACCCTGGGATATCGGCTTTGTCGTTCCATTTATACGGAGGATAATGGTACATTTCATAATCGGAAGTAAGCATTAAGGTCCAAATCAGTAGGCAGAGAATTGGGTCATTTCAGAACCTGTGTATTCGAGAACACATGAGTTTATACAGATTTCTGCTACCCAGGAAGATAAGATAGAAAAGCAGTGTAAACACAGCCCAGAATTGATAATCAGTCAAGGGTAGATGGCATCTCTTTTGCCTTACTGTTCTCGTTTGAAGTCGCTGGAGGACAGGCTGACATCCCTCCAGCTTCACCCTTAATTCCCACTCCTTTCAAATTCGGACGTATCCTTTGCCTTCTTCTAACACTGAAATGTGTGTCAGTTACATGAAGGATTTTACCTCTTAAACTTTTATGCCTATGAACACAAATGACTTTTAGGAATTTTTGGAACTACCCAGAAAGACTCAACAGGATTCATTTGATGTAACAGCTTTCATTCCTTTACCCTTTCCTTAAATACTTAAAAGTTTGGCTACTTGTAGATTATTGTTTAGACATCTTAGACTTGTGTCTATATATTTGTAACACTCATGATTCCTGACATAAATAGTTGATTCAGTGTACTTGCTAGTATTGTTCTATATTTGTACCTGGAATTTTATTGGGGAAAAGTATGTGAGATAGTGAAGAGGTGTCAGTAATCTGTCCTTGGAGCTGAGTAGGTTTTCCTTGGGTAGATGAGTTTGAGTCACTGGTTGACCTTATTATAGAATTATGAATTTGAGGCAGCTGAGGACTCCCAAATGGTACTTAAGGACATAGGGTCAGTGATAGGGTGTTTCTTATCTTTTCTCTGTATGACCATATATGCACACCGAGTTTTTTAAGATAAAGAATGCACAAATGAGACGAAACTATTTTCAGTTACATAATTGGAGCCCACCCCCATGTTTTAAAAACATTTCCTCCTAATCACTGAATTGTGACTTAATCTATATCTTTTTACAGGTTTAGTTGTTGTGGCATTTCTTTGGGGGATGTATAGCTTGTTGTAAAATACATGGTATAGTTTGCTATTACTTTAAGCACAGATTTTTATAAAGGGGTAGACATAGCTATAGAATACAGTCATAGAAATTATAGAAATTGAATTATTGAGTGAAAGTATATATATATATATATATATTACATCTTTATAAATATTTCCAAAGACTTCATACAAAATCATTTATTTAAACATCTAGCAAGACTATATTTATATTTAAATGCATTTTTGTCAATATTAGGTAATATCAACATTTTAGATTTCCATAATTTTGATGTGGAAAGCAACAGTTTAGCTTAAATTTCTTTAGTTATGTGTGAAATTGAAGAATTGTCTTACTGTGATTGAAAATTGGATGTTTTGCTATTCTTTAAAATGTCCAAGTTTTCTCATTTTCTTATTGAATGGTTTGAAAATTGTATCCATAAAATTATTATGATACTAATTTAATACTTGTGAGAATATCACAGTCTAGAATTATTACTTCTGGTAATCATTTATCTCTTAGTTTTATTTATGAGAATCTGGAATATCTTAGTGCCTTATACCTTTGTACAATATTATTCAATCACCTTGCATGATTTTTCCGCTTCAGGCATTTAAGAAAAATAACTCAAATATTTTTCTTTTGTCCTTATATTCAGAAAAGTTTCCATAGTTAGCAATTATTACTTCTACATGATCTTTGTGATTTTAGATATAAGTAATGTATCAATATTTGGGCTTTATTTTTCAAAAGCTAACAGACTTTCCAACATTATATAATCATTAATATCTCCCTTTTATCATATACTAAATATCCTCAGGTACTAACCTCTTTACAAAATTTGCACTGTTGTCCCAATGATGCACTATAATATAAACCATTTTTAAAACTTTGGTGAGCTAGACTGTGGTGGTACACCCCTTTAATTCCCAGCACATGGGAGGCAGAGGCAGATGAATCTCTGTAAACAGAGACTGTACTTTTGGTTCCTGGCCACCCAGGCCCAAATAATCACACAGAAACTGTACTAATTACGGCACTATTTTACCAATAGCTCAGACATATTCCCAGATAGTCCTTAAATTAACCCGTTTCTCTATTAATTTGTGTATTGCCATGAGGCTGTTACTTACTGGTAAGGTTCTAGCATCTCTCTCCTTAGGCAGCTACATGGCATATTCTTCTCTCCATATATCTTTGTTTGGATTTCCCACCTGACTTTAACTCCGCTAAGCCATTGGTCATAGCAACTTTATTCATCTACCAATAAAAGCAACATATACAAAAGGACATCCCACATCAAATCTCTGTGAGTTTGAGGCCAGCCTGGTTCACCGAGCAAGTTCCATGACAACCAGGGCTACACTGAGAAACCCTGTCTCAAAAAAGAAAAAAAAAAAGGAATAAAAGCTAAACATGTTTTCATATTTACTAATTAATATTTTCTTTATTGTTATTTCCTTCAAATTATCCTGTCATTCCTATATACATTTTTTCCATATTAAAAATGGGATCATCTCGAAACTTTTTCGTGGGTTTGCTAATTTAACAAAAAAGCTCTATGATATCAATGTTGAATCCTTACTCTCAAATGAGATACCTATTTCCATGTATTTACTTTTAGCTCCTTGGGGTAAATTAAAGAGCATCTTTTTCTCTTCTTTCCTTTTTTTTTTAAAAAAAAGTATTTTTTAAAACAATATTTTCTCATTTTACATACCATATTAGTTCCTTCTCCGTACCCTCCTCCTTCCTCACCCCAGCTTCCACATGCCTCATCCCTCCCCATCCACTCCTACGAAAGGGTAAGGCTTCCAGACTGACAGTAGGAGAAGAGGGGAACCTTCATAGACCCAAAGTAGGCCCTCTGAATGTGGGTGACAGTGTGTGGCTGGGGCAGTCTGGGGGCCACTGACAGTGGTTTTGTTCCTAGTGCTTGATCTGACATTTTGGAGCCCTTTCTCATTGGAGCAAACAGCTTCTCTTAAATAGT